GGCGTGATGGGTTGGTCGTTGAAGTTGCGAAGGTGCTCAAAGTGTTCGCTACATCACTCACTAAGTTGTTCTTCACCTCGTGAACGGAGCACCTCAATGTAGAGGGTTGCCTCTAAGGTTCCGGATAACTTGGCGGAGTTTTCGAGTGTCATCACCGTTTGAGATAGTGCTTGTTGCAGTTCTTTCTTCAGTTTATGCCATGTTGAGGATTCTCTTGAGAGTATGTCATCTTGCTGATCACTCTGCTATAAAGACATCTCGCCAAGCCCCCCTTCCCCTCCTATGGAACGTCTCAACAATATTATAGAACTGTTACCCGCCAGTCCAACCCTAGCAGAAATATACCTAAATTGATCCAGGTCGAAAACCTCACAGCTTCAATCATTTCCTTTGGCGGCTGCTCTTATATTCCCGAGTGACCTTCTTAACTTCTCAAGAGCGCTTTATTTTTCCATGTTCACTACGATAGGCTTGTTATATACCAGTGTGCAGTTCTTTCCTTCTTTCGTCAATTTTGCGAAAGACAGACTTGATCTCACCAATAAAGTCTTCGTGTCACGTTGGTTAGCATGTGCCCTCCCAACCTCGTTTTGTTGACCAGTGCTGTTTCATGTTTTATAATCAATTTTCCATGTCTCCTGCTTAACGTGGTCTCTATGGCATTTTCACATTTTTAATCTATGAGCCGCTCACCCCCCTGGAGCAAAATCGTGGTTTGCGAACTTATTGCGATTCACCGGAGCAGTTTGCAGCTCATGCTGACAACTGACTGACTCGGACAGTAGTTGAGGCCTGGGAGAGTATGTCATCTTGCTTATCGCTCTGCTGTGAAGGCATCTCGCCGAGTTTACCCTCCCCCCACCCTATGCAATGTCTCCTAACAATAACACAGAAATAATGACCGCCATTCCAACTCTAGCAGAAATGTATTTCAATTGGTTCAAGTTAAAAACCTCACACCCTCCTTTGGTGGCTGCTCGATGATCCCCGGGGACGTCCTTAATTTCCCAAGAGCGCTTTGTTTATCTAAAAACATCCCAGTATGTTCACTATCACAGGCTTAAGATATAGCGGTGTGCAGTTCTTTCCCTCTTTCGTTAATTTTGCGAAAGGCAGACTTGATCTCACCACTAAATTCTTCGTGTCGGACTTATGAAATATCTCACGTTGGTTTGCATATGCTCACCGAAACTTGTTCTACTGACCAGTGCTGCTTAATGTTTTATAATCATGTTGCAATGTCTCCT